TCAGAGCTGCCCGGGCACGGGCCTGCCCGCCGGGGGCCGTGTTTGCTCCCGGCTCTGCTCCACCGCCACCCGCGCCCGAGGAGCAAGGCAGCTCCGGCTCCACCTGCGCCCAGCCGTTTCTTCTGGCGGTCTCGCTTTTGGGACAAATCCCTCCCTTTTCAAATTCTTTAATGCATCTTTTTTTGCCTGCAGGTCGCATCCACTGTCATTTCCTGTATTTCCCTTTCCCTGGAAAAATTACAGCTTCACTGAGCGCTTGGCCTTCTTCTCCATTAATGGCAGCTCGAGAGGGAGATAAACATCCTCTGGACGTACAAATATAATCCTCAGACTGCAGGGTCCAAGTAGTTTGTGCCATGGCTCCAAGGCCTTTTCATATACTGCAAACCCTGTCAAGAAGCAGGACCGGAGGGAAACAAAACCAAAAAACAATGGGAGGCATGTGCACCTCTCATTAACCCCCCTTTCCATGATAAGCAAAGCAGCTCGGGAGCCCTGTTCTCTCTGCCCCTGTAATAAATCTCCCTATTTTACTGTTTGATGATGTCAAACATCTAAAAGTTTTCCTTCAGTTGCAAAGAGAACATTTGGGTAAACCCTTGTTTGGGTAGACCCTTGGGTAAACTCCGCAGATGCTAACGTTATCTACAAAATCCTGGCACTAATAACTTCACGGAAAGTCTAAGGGCTTCCCATTTTGTACGAGTAAAGCTAATTAGTGCATGTAGACTGTAAATAAGAGGCATGTAGATTAGGAAGATAAAGTACCATACTGTGAACTCCTTAACTGTAGTTATTTTTGATAGCAAAATAGATGATGGCCCTGACCTGGAGGTTCAGCTACCGCCTTGCAGCATCTCAATGTGAAAAACATCCTAGTTTTATCCCAGCAAAGTCACAAACTTCCCGCTTTGGTGTAAAGAAAACATACTAGAAGGATGCGCCGTGTCTCCAGGAGAGTTGCATCGCTAGTTCATTATCCTACTTAAAAGCACAGGCTGTCGTTAAGCCCTTTCCCACCAGCCTTCTGCCATGCAAAAAACGTTCTCCACAAGGTGAATCATGCTGTGGCCAACTCCTGACTTTGGCCTTGCCGAAGGAGCTAAACCAAACAGCTCGAACACTTCTCGTAACGCTTGCCCGAGGTTGTCCCTGCCTTTTGCCTGTGGCGGCTCCATCTGTAGGTTTCCGAGCCAACAGCACTCCATAAAGAGGAGCCCAACCGCAGCGTTTTGTACTAAAAGACGAGGCGTTTCCTCCAGGTACCCCATCCCTCTCCGCAGGCATACTTTTGGCTCAGACACATGTGGGAAATGTTAGAGGAAGGAGTCCCAGTGGACCAAAAAGATGCCAGAAATGAGTGCCAAAAGACACCTTGCAGCCAGGCAGTGCCTTTGCAGTGAAATAATATATAGAAATATAAAATACGTATAAAACCTTTGCCCCAGCAAAGGGGCTGACGGGACAAGAAAGCCTTTCAGAGGGTACCCGGTCCGCTCCTGCTGCTCGCTCCTGGCTCCTTGCCTCTCTCCTTATCTCCAGGTGAGGAGAAAATTGGAACCAGTTAAGAAAACAATTACATTTTTAAAAACAGCAGCTGCAGCCGTTGCAGCAAAACCGCAAGTGCCCGAGAGGCGCTGCCTGTTCGGCCACACAAGCAGCCCAGCACCGGCCTCGGGCTCAGGAGGGACCCGTCCGCCCTGCGCTCCGCTGCCCAGAGCGCTGTGCTGGAAGTCAAAGCCCCGAAGGACATCTCAAGGGAGATATTTTACTTCTCCTGTTAGCCAGCGGCTGGGACACTTGACCCAAAACTACAGGCTGGGAACAAGCCAGCGCTCAGGCCGGCCCCGGCTTCGGCGCGAGGCGTCCCTGCTGCGCGTGTGGGGGTGGGCTGCGCTTGCACCCCGGGGGGGCCGACCCGTCCCACCTGCACGAATGGGGCAAAAGCGCTTGGTCTCCCACATCAGGGGCACAGAGGATTTTGGCACAGGCTCAAGAGCGGACAAGGGAGGTGACGGGCTGCTGCTGAGAGCTGGCTCAGGCCAGCGCGGGCAGGCCCAGTACACCCGGGAAGGCCCTGGGCTACTGCCTGGAGGTGGCAATGTGGAACGAATGGCTCGTCGCGAAAACCCCACCACTGCTGGGGCACCACTGACAGGACACCCGAGATGCTTGACATGCTCTTTGTTGGCGGCTCCGGCGTCTCATGCCTGCTTCTCCCTTGCCCTTAGTGTGCCAGTTTTCATCAGGAGGGATGCTGCGAACCGGCCCAACGGCAGCACGGCCGGGAGA